CTGGCTGGGGAATTCTGGGCGTTGAAGTCCACTCATCCTAAAGCTGCCAAGGCTGAGCAGCCCTGATTTAGCGCTCTCCTTCCAGCCCAGCAGCTGACCAAGAAGGCCTTTTGCGCTGAGCGGGGTACTTCTCCTCCCGCACGAGGTGACTGCCGTGAGGCTCTCCAGAAGACTCAGGCCAGGGTTTCTCTCCTGCCTTCAGCTTTCTTTGCGCAGAGGCCAGGCAGGCCCCAGGGGCTGGCAGGGCCTTGGGAGTGGCAGCCCCCAAACTGCAGCGGTCATTTTGTTGCTCTGGAGCTGGGGCTGGTCCACCCCCTTTCCGCTCTTTCCCTGAGAACTCTTATTTTCCTGTCAGTAAGTGATTTATGCGTGTTCTTTTTGCTCAGACTGTGGCTAGTTTCATGACATTCCAGTTTTATTTGGATTGCTAGCGTATCGTAACTCAAATTTGGAAGTGTATCTTGGAAAATAGCAGCAGTGTAGCCGTGTGGTTGTTAAACATGCCATTAAAAAAGAAAACCATCAAATTGCAGCGTTAGTTTACCAGGAATAGGGATGGGGTGGCATGAAACAAAGAGGCTGTGAGGCTGCTGTGGCCAATCCCAGTGCTGGATTTGGGAGAATCCCTCGTTTCTGCCTCTCGCTGGGAGAGGAATGTGTCTCTGGCGCTTCAGGGGCGGCGCTTGCCTTGAACGCCCCAGGGTGCCCTGTCGGGGTGCTGCTAGAGCCCTCTGGATCTCCAGAGGGCCAAAGGCCTCCAGGAGTGGGAACGGCTGTGACCAGCTTCAGCTCCGAGACCTCAGCTGCCCCTTCCCGGGACTCAGATGCTGACCTCCTCCCTGTTCTGGAGCGCAAAGCCTCTGCAGGCACCACGGTGGCAATGGCCGGGCTGCCGAGGGGGTTACGATCAGAGACCGGTTGCAGAAAGGCTTGAGGTACTTGATAGGAAGTGGTTTAGCGGTGTTTCAATAGATAGTACAAAAATTACAAATGCCGCCCTTTGCCAAATACCATTTCCCTGGAATGTTCCAGGGAGCCCATGAAAATTGATCCCACGCGTACGGATGGCGCTCATACTCCCAGGTCATTTTCCAGAAGTGCTGGACTACAACTCCCATCGTTCTAATTGGCACAGCCGGGGGACATGCCAGCTGATGTCATTGGAGTTCACAACTTCCCATTTGGCGCAAACCAGGATGGGAAAGACTGCATGGAGACAGTAAAACATAATACCGCCGCCGATGCATTTTCAGAATTAAAGTGGGGCAGGATTGTTTTGTGTTTCTTTATTGCATTTAAACGCCACCCATTCTCAAACAATGCGACTCGAGGTTTATTGTCACCAATAAAGCAACAAGAAAAAACAGAACAAAATAAACGGCCCCGGCTAAAACAAGACACAGCCCTTAATCAGCAATCAGGGACATAAGCGTATTGCGCTCCTCCGGGCAGGAGCGCCCCTCGTGCCGGCCAAACGCCCGCTGCAAGGACCGGGCCTCGCTGCCCTCCTAAGGGCCCCGACCGTATGATCTACGTTCCGTCCCTGAGGCTCCAACGTGATTCCTGGGGAAGGGGAGTGGATCAGGGTTACGCAAATGTCTCTACCTCGGCAGACAGGTGTGCACATGTATGTTCAAGTCTTTGCCACACCTCCACTAATCTCACACACACACACACACACTCTTTGTGAAGGTGACTTTGAGAAAGGCTGCAGAGCAGCCAGAGAAAGACTGGAACATTTCACGTCCTTCCCAAGTTCTGGCTCTGAGGGTCGCTCCGACGGATGGCATGACCTGGACACGAACACATCCAGGCGCTGGTCACCATCCTCCAGCTTCCCATTTGGGCCTGATCCAGCACGATTTACAGGCATGGAGGAGTTCAGTGTGAGCCTCACTGCACGATAACATATTCACTGGCTGAACCTGGGCACTCACGTGGGAGAGATGATCGGCGCCCTGAGCTCTTAGGAGGAAAATTGAGAAGGAAATGCAATAATATCAGTAACTTCCAAATATAACATGTCGTCTTCTAAAAGCAGGGCCCCGGGTGCATACTTTTACTGGAAGATTTTGTGGGCACACATGCTTTTGCCCCAAGTGTGTTTTTCATTGTACTCTGCTTGCTGCAAAACTCATTGCAGAAAAGACATTCCCCAAGAAATGTTGGACATCGGAAAGCTTCCAGGGGCAAGGAATAGGAATTCAGGCTTTAATCTGAGGTCCCAGCATTCTTGCTGGAATCCAGAACCAGCATGTCTGAGCGGTCATTCAAACTAGATCACGGTACCTGGATGTGACATGGGGGCCTGTGACCGGATCCAGGAGCTGATCAAACGGGAAATGTTCCTTCCGTGTGCGCAAGAGAAAGTTGAGCAACACGGGTTGCAGACCTACCTGTTGAAGGAAATCCTAGTACCTGAGTCACGAGGGCCGAATCCGCAGGTGAGTCAAGCTGCAGATCGCTGAACAAAGAATTGTTCTGTGTCACGGCAAGGAGAGGCATCCCCTCCGAGCACAGCAGGGACAGTGAGGATGGCTCTTCTCAGGCTCTGCAGACCTCTCAGGCTTAAGAAGCACTTGCATTAAACACTTATTTTGATCTTCACCCTTGTTATTTGGAGCTGCTGCTCAGCTGCTCAGCCACGCCGTCCGCCTGTTCCTTGGGCAGCAACGGGCCCAGCGACACGCAGGAGCTCTCCCTAAACGCAAAGCAGATGAATTGGCAGGTAGGCTCCGCCGTTCCCAACCCTTAATCCAACCCTTTCGTGGTTTTGGCCAAAGTTCCATCTGCGCCGTTGATGCCGTGACAGATTTTAAGGAAGGAGCCACGAGGCATCTCGAGGCATTGGCTGCACAAGCAAACTCGGTGACCTCGCTGGAGCCTCCTCGTTGCAAGCCTGGCCACGTGCGAGGGTGCCAGCCTGTGGGGAAGCCAGGCTCCCCCGTAGCTTGACCCCAAAGCAGAGGCCAAGACTGTATGTGACCCCCATCCAGGGGGCCGCCTGATTCCCCCAGCAATTAGCTGCCTCTAGCGTATCTTTAGAGCTGGGATCTTTACAGAATTGGTTTTTCTGACACCTTCCTCCCCGGACAAACATCTGCTGGTAGGAATCCTGCACAGAGTCATCAGCTCCCACATTTCACGGAATGACCTTCTCCTTTGTTACCGCAGCCGCTAACGTTTTAACGTTTTCCTGCCTCTCCTAGTTTTGCAGCATTCCTTCAGCAAACAAAAGGCCCTTGATTTCCGGGGGCGGAGGGGAGATTTAATTCCACTGGCCTTGCTTAGGGGACCTTCTTGGCTGACTGTGGGGGGCCATCCTCTTTTGAGGTGTCTTTTGGCTCCCCAGGCTTGCTCAGAGCTGACAACAGCCATCAATGAACTCTGAGGCAGCTCTTTGGAAAATATGGAACTGGAGGTAGAAAGCGGAGCCTCCCGCCCCACGTCCTCCAGCCTTGTTAGGTATTTTGCAGGGAGAGAACCCTATTTCAGTTGCAGTCTATCTTAGGGTCGTCTTATGCAGGGACATTGCAAGAAAGGCCATAAAAGGATGATGGCATTTTTAGAACTGGGGGCAATAAAAGCATTCTTCATTCAACAGTTAAAAGCAGGGTGGGGAGGCTTCTGCTGGCAGACGGAGCCCCGAAGGGTGTTTCAATCGGATTGATTTCTTGGCTTTCATTGCTTTGGATCTGGGCCAGAGCATCCTGTCTTGAGCGTGGGTAGGTGAGACTCTCCTTGGAGAATTTTTTTTTCCAGTGGTTTCTTTAAGTTGTCTGGAGCGATGGATGGTTTCTCCACGACACTATAAGCATCTGTTTTCAAAATAGAGCCTGACCGAAGGTCTGCAGACTCCACCCAATTCCCATTTTATTTCTGGCACCGTCTTCTGTGGGGAAAGGAGGACACATCACGTATCGGAGCCTGAGCTCCTGGGGACGGGTGGGGGGGGGGCTAAAACAAGGACGTGGCTGCAAGAAGAGGGCTATCCTCGGCCAGCCTGGCGGGCCCTCTTGACCTTTTTTGGTTAACCTTGGGATAATAAGATGGAGGAGAGTGGAGACATCCGGATGCTCATTCTTTTGTACCGATGCAGGGGGAGTCGGATGTGCATCGAAACAGTGACCTGAATGGAGGTGGTGGAGGCGCCTTGGTGGAGAACGCCAGGCTTGTGCATCTTGGCTTGGTATTCGAGGAAGAACGGAGATCCCTGGGGTCTCTTGGAGGGCCAGCTGCCTCTCTGCTGCCTTCAGTCGAGAATTACACCTCAACCCCGCAAGACGGCTCCCTCGGTCCCCCCTTGCAGTTGCCACGACGGGGGCTTGGTTTTCTCGTGCCACCTGACCCCTCTCAGAGCAGGTGGTTTCTCCAGGCCTGGGCAAAGGCTGATTGGGCGACCACCCTGATCCGAGTGGGACTGTTTTCCTGAGCAATCAGGCTGCGCTCCATAAGCCTCCGTGGGAGGAAGAGGAAAGGCAGGCCCTGGCACAGGGGGCCAGGCTGGACACCAGAGCTGGCAGCTTTCCCCTGTCGTCCTGAGGACAGGCGTTTGTGATGCTGCCAAACCCGACTGGAACCTGGGGGTCATAGGCTTATGACCTCTAGGCACGTCCCGGCTCCTGAGGCATCGTGGTGCAGCAACCCATGTTCTGGGAGAAGGCTTGAAAAAGATGAGCAGATGATTACAGAAAACGGAGAGGGACCACAGACAAAAATAGGTCCAGATTCACATGCCAAATGATGAACTAATAATATTCTGGATGGAAATGATAATACTGGATTCATTGACAGTGCAAGGAACATCTCCCCAATGTTTTCGGGCCCATCTTGCAACTCTGAAAACATCCAGCAATTATTATTATTATTATTATTATTATTATTATTATTATTTTAACTGCTGTGGATTGAAGAAGATCCTCCTCCAAGATCTCCCGCCCGCTCAGCCCCACGACACAAGCGACATGGCCTGGCATGCCTGGTTCAGGCAGCGCGCTCTTCCCTTATGTGATGCCCTCAGAATGCCTGGGGCTGCCATCCAGGCAGCCGGGAGTTCAACACACGTAGGAGACACCAGGCTGGGATATGCTGAGACAGGGTGGCCCGCTAGAGAGGCTCTGCTGATGTGCTGCGCAGCTGCTTGCAGCTCGTGGACTTGCTCTGGGGGAGGTCCTCGTTGGGGCCTGAGACGGGGGCAGCCCACGACTTTGGGGTGTTCCTCTGAGGACTGACCACCCGGGGACCAATGGCCCGGCAGCACGGCCTTGCCCCGGTGCCACAATACTGGGCAGAGGGATACCGGCTGCGATCTCTGCCGGGCCTTTGAAAAGACCCAGCGAGTGGATTCTTTGCAAGGGTTCCTGGGGCTTTGGGATTCCTCTGGCCGCCAACCCCGGTGAGGACAGCGTGCAAGCTTTGGGATGCATCTGGGCCAGGAAAACGCCCTCCGATTTGCCAGCAAAGGCGGCCACAGCTGCCCATCCTCTGAACGGCGGCCCAGAGC